ATAGGCATTAGCTGGGTCCAGGTCGATAATAATAACCAAATTATTCATAAATTTTCAGCCAAAATCAACTTCTGGCCATCATTCTACAAAGCAGAACTAATAGCTATCCTCTTAGTTATTTCTACTACACCCCGAAATGCAATAGTCAATATTTTTACAGATTCACAATTTATTATTACTAAATATACTAACATCTACACCACACTTTTCAATCCTAATAAACTTTTCAAATTTAATATATGGCCTTTGTGGTATACCTTACTGAATATTATTAAATCTTATAATCTTCAAATCAACTTCCATAAAGTACAAGCTCATACTAACAATAATCTGAACAACCTTGCTGACTTTCTTGCCAAACAACATAATCTCTCTTCAGACTTATACTTTAACTATACAAATATCTACAATCCATATCACATGCTAATCTGGGACCAACATTTCATAGAACACCCTACAAGAACAGTTATTAAAAACATTTGTAAAGCCTACATTCTGGCAATGTGGTCATCTCAAAAATAAAACCAAGAATGGAACCAACTTATCTCAAAAATAGATTGGAGATCCATCTGGTTATACTTCAATCATAACCAAAAACCAACATATAATATAACTAACTTCAAACTTAATCTTTTCAAATCTTTTAAAATTAAAACTCTACTAAACAAACTATATACATACTTCTTTTGTCATAAAATATATTCACATATTTTCTATAATACAAACTGCTTTTACTGCAACCTACCTGACTCCTCAACACACTGGCAGACATGTTCTAATCTAACACTACTCACCAGTATTATTTAAAATACTATCTCCAAACATATTAACCAAAGCAACCTAGACATCTTCAAACTACAGCAAGAAGAACTTATTCAAAAAATTCTAAACTATGAAACCTTCTATCAGATACCATTCAATGAAAACTTATTCTATCTTGATATTATCCTTAAAGAACTCATACCCAAATCTCTAATCCAAACAATTCAAAACCTTAAAATTCCTTACAAATTAGCATCACAAACAGTTATTAAAATACTGTTTGAAATTAATGAGCTATACTACAAACTATTCTGAAAACCATATTGCATAAACTTTTCAAATTGGAAAAAATAATAAGGTTTTAAATCTCCCTTTTCTAAACACTTAACTCAAACTAATTATAATAGACAAATTACATACAACCACCAGACATATACATACTCATGTATATGTGGATTACCAGACCAAGTACACTCAAACTTCAACACATGCCTACCACTCGGTTATGCTATTAGAAAAATCAATATATGGACTATTCTCTAGATCAAATACAATATCTCATTTAATTATATTCTAACTATCCAAATTTAGGTGAGTCTTGATCACTCTAGTAGGTTTAGGTTACAGATAAATATGTCTGAGCTTCACTCTTGAATGTAGTTTTCTTCTTATTTGTATTTAAGTTAGTTATATATAGTTAGCAGTTTAATGTTTAGTCCTAACTGCAAATATTGGCCTTGGCCATAGTATTTATATATAGAAGTATTTTTGTATATAATAACTCCATGAAGTTATTAACTTTAAAAACTACCAATAAAGATATAAGCAAGGCCTCACCTTAACACCAAAAAAAAAAAAAATAAATAAATAAAAATTTTTTATAATATAGAAAATAATCACTTCTCCTCTTCAAATAAATTTTCTAAGATTTTCATATTTATTGTAACTATTTTTTTATTCTCGCTAGAATTATTCTCAGTTGCATTTTACATATCTTCTTCAACAAATTCATTTTGTTCTAATTTTTTTCTTATACTTATCTTTAACACCTCAATATTTTTCTTAATTTCATTATGAAAATAATCAAAACATATTAAATATTTTGATTGACACTGTTCTAAACAATAATGATAATATTTATACCCACATGTAAGAATAATACTGGTGTCCAAAAAATTATTATAATTAATGCGATCACAAAAAAAGTAATCATATAAGATGGCTATAAAAAGTTTTCTGAATATAACAAAACCTCTTGGAAGGTGACAATCCATTATTTCATAACCTAAAGAAGGCAATTTATATGAGTTAATGTTATCAGATGAACCAACAATTAAAGGATATTAATACTGTATTTAATATATCTTCATGAATTTGTCTAACAACAGTATTGCACATTTTTGAGAAAGAACATGTAATTGCTTGGATATATATAGATATTTAATGTAATTCACAAAATATTGCCAAAAAGTATTGTCTTCTCTATATTGAAAAATAAAACAAGTCTCTTTCTGTAATTGTTGTATTATAGAAAACTTAGTGGTATGCTGTCAAATAATGCTATGAATAATTTTTACAAAACAATCACTTAATAAAGCAAGATAATTAGTAATTATATTAATAATTGGATAGTTAATTTTCATTCAATAAAATACATTAGAAAAAACATTAGAAAGACAAATTTGTAATTTCTTCAATCAAATTAAAGAAAAAAATCACACCAACAATGCATACTGGCCTCTTTATAAGCTGACCAGTTTCTTTCATAATGATGTACTACATAGACATCAAGAACTAAAAGGATTAGATTACTCAAAAGATCAGTTAAATATAGAAATTCAATATTTTACATATATAACTGAACTTTGAATAAACAATATTAGAAATATCAAGCCATGTTATGTATATAATATGAAGAATCAAATTGATCTGCCATGGCTGTGGTTTCTTACCAAGATCTTTTTTTTGTCTGAATATTTCTTTATAGACATCATTAAATAGAAATGAGTTTTTTATAAAAAAAATAAGCTTATGACTATTTAATAAAACATAAAGAGGTCTTATCATGGGCAAAACTGTTGTAATGAATGAAAGGATATTTTTATTATTAAAGAGAATCCAATATATGATGGCTTTACAAATAAAGAACTGTTCTGACCAATCTGCAATAACAGGAATCATATGATCAGAAAAATATTCTTGCATTAACTTCTAATCATATACAATTTGAAGAGCCTTCATATAATCTTCAACACTTTTAAGTTGCTTTCTAAGAAATCAAAAAGAATTGTATTTTTAATATGCTTTTGATCATTTTTTTTTTCTAATCTGTTATTATAACTATGCAATATTAGCCTTTCTACAAGTTTATTATTCACCTACAATCATTATAAAATGTCTAAGATTTATAATAAATCATTTGTCAAGATATTTAATAATTAACTTATCATTAATAATTTCTGAATTGAGCATTCCTCCATGTGGTATTGTTGATATAGGGCATGGATTTGTAATAATTATTGCCTTGTATGTCATCTAAGATGTATTTGTGATGTCAGGTTGTTATTGAAAATAAATATTATGATAATTATCAATATTCAATACAAGAGTTTTTGTTGAATATTTTTTAAGAACCCTCTCTACATATTCTTTATATGCATTTGAAATTTTTTTTTTCTTATGACCAAATGCTCTTGATGTTATAGATAAACCTAACTTAGCCATTATATCTAGGTCTTTGTTACTTGTAATTACAAAATCTAAGTAACATGTTATTTCAAACTTAAAAAAATTAATTTTTGTATTATTTAATAATGAAAAAAGATAACATATAACTACTATTAATTTTTTTAAATACTTCATAGTTTGCTTACTATGTTTGAATGATTGAGCTACCAGATAAAATTGATCTAAAAAGTCCTTCAAGCTCAAATTGATTGTTGAAAATAATTCTTGCATTTCATCAAATATATATATAAGACATTCATTCCTCAAACATTCTCACTCATAAAAGATTTTTGCCATTGCCTTAATGGCTTTGACAAAATTAATTATATCTCTTTTATTATCATTTTATCTTCTATCTCTTTATCTATAGATTTCATTTCTTCTTCTTTCATTTCTTTCTCATTCATCTCTTCTTCATTTATAATTTCTATTACTTGTTTTGTTGCATTTACTTTTCTTCTAACTGTAACATCATTTTCTTTCATAATAACTTTTGCTTATTTGATGCTTCTTCTTAATGCATTTTCTACACAATTCATATAACAATTATAATATAAAAAACTCTTATATTGCCACGTTACCTTTATCAAGCCTTTATCTCAGCTTCCTTCCATTTATTATCCTTCAACGAGCAGAATTTAGACATCTCAATGGTTCCACATTCCATATAGTACTTAGATTTAGACATTTTTAACTCAGTAAATTATAATATAAAAGCCGTGGGATTCAAAGAGATTCACTTGATATTGTTAAAGTACGGTGCTAAAGTTACAAGTTTGCTTAATACGCTTCTATACTTTTCATTGCACAAACGTGCCACGATGGTCTCACGAAAAAGTATTGTAAAACGTATAAAAAAAATTTTTTTACAGTTGTGTAACAATATCAGAATCATTTCCATATTTGGACGGTCCCTCTTGGAGATGCTGAGGTAGTTGCCAACCCGACCCGTGAAATTTCAGGTCAAACCTGACTCGTCCTGTACCAAATATAGGATCATTATACGTATTGTTATTACAGTTACAAAGAATGTCTTATCGTTATAATATTAAAAATCATTGTATAAAAAACATACAAATAAATTATTTCTTGACCAATTTATTGTTAAAATCATAAGCTTACTTAATGTTAATATTACTATTTTATCTATATTTTGTAAAATTACTAATTTATTATCAGTAACCTACTATCATTAAAATAATAAACTAAATTATTAGTGAAATTACTAATCAACTAAAATAAAAAAAATTTTTTTAATTGTGATTGGCTAATGTCAATTTTGATTGGGTTGGAGGATTTCGGAAGAGATCTGCAATTTGTGTAATAATGATGTTCCCTCCTGTTGGTATATAATTTTCTTTTTTTCCTGCCGTCTTTTTTTTGAATATCAAGCGTCCATGTCATTAACAAAACCACGCCCATCAATTGTGCGAAGCGAAAAAAACTTCACATAAGAAAGCATAATAGTGTGATAGTTGATTTTAAAAAACACCCGGATTTACAATTTCATAATGTGGATGAAGTGTCGCAACACGCTCGGCATTCCATTGCAATGTTTGAAATGGTCGGTGGTAAATTACGAAACATTTATAAAAGCGAGTTGGAACGGCAAACGTAGATTCAATATCATATCAACACCACGAATTAAGATCAAATTCCTTTCTGTCACCTTTGAACAGCATCCCAATAACCAACTTAAGTCAATCAAGTCAATCGCCACAACATTGTGGTCACTTTATGATAAGGGCATAATTCATTCTCGTGAAATCTCACCTGCCATTTTTATACGTTGGCTATTTTATCACAAGGAAAAAAGCTATTATGTTTCTGTTGATGTTTCTACTGAGGATACACTGGATAATTGAAATAACACATCTGATAGTCAAATTTCTAATTCAAAAACTCCGTTACATATCGATACTAACGTTAAAACTGATGAAAACTCTCAAAATTATAAAGATATTGAAGCTCTTGAAGATCAACTTACTGAACTTCAACGTTCTTATAATGAATTATCTCAAAATTATGCAAAAAAATCATTTGAACTTGAAATATATCAAAATATTTCTAGTGGTATTTCAAATCCTACTTCTTCATATTTATCAACCATTAAAGAGGAGGATGAAATGACTTTTAATAAATCTCAGTTAACCGATTTTCAATGATAGACCAAGAGGCAAAACTTTTTGATGTTGAAAAATTCAGAGAAGAAAGTAAAAGTTTGATGCTTAAATATAAAGTTTCAAAACTTATTGAACGTGAAACAACAACTGAATGTTATATTCAAGATCTTGAATCTAAACTTAAAATTGATTCTAATGAATATAAAAAAGATCAAGAAACAATTATGATCTCCGTAAACAACTTATGGAACTTGGAGGAAATGATAATAATAATGAAATTTTAATTAATCAACTTGAAACACGTTTGGTTGCACGTGAAAGTAAAATAGAACTTATGAGTTCAAATACAGAAAAACTTTAAATCAACGACAAATGCTTATTCAAAATTAGAAGAAAGTTACACACAAGAAAAACTTAAAAATGAAGAAAATCAAAAAAATGCTCATGACAGGGATTAAAGACTGTGATCGTGGGATTTCTGAGTTGGAAAAGAAAGTCGAAGAATTGGTTGATGAAATATCACATATTAAACGATTAAAAATGGATTATAGAACTTACCGTTCAAATTCACTTGCTTCGGCTTCTTCAACTTCCTCAGATCAAGATACTCCTCTTTCTAGTCCACCTGATTCGAAACTCCAAAGTCATCTGTAAATTATTCTTCTATTTTAGGTTTAGAATCAAAATTATATCTACCTCAAAAAACTCATGAAAAGACTTTCTCAGATTATAGTGATATGAAGAGTAATGTGATATGAAGAGTAATTATGCTTCATGTCTTTAAGACATTCAAGATCTTCAAGAACAACTTCGAATTAAATTTAACGTTAATATAATACCCGGAATCCCATTATATTCATACCTGGAACCCCATTATCTTCTATTGGTACATCTTATTGTGAACTTGCAGATATAGATTCAAAATCTTTATTACCTTCCACTCATGACACTCATCGTAAAGCTAAATCTTTATCTTCTGAAAATAAAAGGGTTAGAAAAACGTGATAGTTCTAATGCTTCTATGATGTAAAAACTTCAAATTGAATTAAAACAACTTAAATCACGTCATGAAGATAAAGATCAAGGTCTTAATTCTGTTAAAAAAGAATTTGCTCGTCTTGAAATTAATCATCGGGAAGCTCTTGAAATTGTTGAAGAACTTCGCGAAGAAATAAAAAGAAAAGATGCTCTTGCTAATGTCAGCCATTGGATCAGAGTATATTCACAACGAATATTCTACACCAACTAGTAAGTTGATCGATTTGCGATTGTTCATCGTCTTCGTGAAGAAGTAGAACAAAAGAACAACGAAAAACTTTGGAAGTACTGAGGAACGTGAAGAAAATGGAAAAATGAAATTAAAGAATTAGAAGCTACTATAGATGAACTTAAATCTGAAATGCAAAAATTACTTGATGAACAAGCTTTAAAGAATTCGGAAATTTCTGATACTACATCTGATAATAATGATAATAAATATGATCAGGTCAAAGAAATGCAATTAACAATAAAATCACTTGAAGTTCAATTAGCGGAAGCTAAACGACAATTTTATATCGCAGATGCTGCTTCTCGCCACAAAGGTAAAAATAAAATAGAACCGGATATGGAACATTTTGAACTTGGACAACAGTCGAAATACTTTATGATATCGACGACTTAAGTCGTTTCTGTGATTTTGCCGTCATTCTATATAAACATGCACCGTGCCGCGGCGTTGGCAGTAGTCCTTCCGAAAGCCACGTTAAAATTGAATTATGATCGATCTATTCGGCTTCACCATTCGAAGCTCCTTCCAACATGGGAATTTCGACATCTGATTTTCGGAAACGCAGGTCAAGGCTCATCAAGATCAAATGATGGATTTGAAGTTCATAAGGATAACGTTGTTGTGGTGGAAGAAGAGATAAATAAAATGTGCCTGCACATCGGACTGGTTAATGAAACGACCATTCATTTAAGTACACTAATGCCGCTCTACAATCAGCAACAATAAACACTTATATACGTTCATGAGGATGTGTTATCATTCAATCTTATATTGATTCAAAAGTGCAAGACACTGTTGCTAAAGATATGTTGGATTTATTATCACAATTATTAGTGCATCGTAACGAAAGCATAATAAACAATTGGAAGGAAATAATAAAGTTGCACTTCGTCATACTTCAAGCATAAAACTAGAAAGTGCCTTGCTAGTAATGTTATGTTTACCTGATCCTGAAATTTGGTTAACTGCTGTAAATTGTTTTGATCAATTATGTTTGGAAGCTGAACTTACTTCTGAAAATCTTGTTAATGATATGGAAGCTTCACCAGAGTTTCCAACTTTACAAATGACTATCGTTGATAATATAAGCATTTACAAAGAGTTATGTACTGTGCCATATCCCATATCTGGTAGAATGGTTCAATAAAGACGAATTAGGAAATTATTGGGATCAATGACTCAGCCTAATGCTGGTAATCGGTGCATTGGAAAAAACAATTCCTAACAAAATTAATTTTGAAGGCTGTTTATGAACAGAATCAAGACTTCCTGCATCAGGTACTAAGTGTATAAAAAACAAATAATTTAATTGTTATTCTACTTTAAAAATTGTATGAATTGCTATTGTTATTGGATCTATAGCGTTGATAACATTTAATAAATAAAGTATTAATTTTATTTTATTTATTTTTTAATGAGTATTACTCATCTCTTTTTAATTTATATTTATTATAGGCCCGATTAACTGAATGGTTAAACCATGCAGGATTTCTTCAGCACTGGGCGGGTGTTGTGTACATGAACGATACGAAACACAAATCCTCACTTTGGCAAATTTTCTCTGTTTCACCCAATGATTATTACGTGATGGTTGAAAAATATGTTCAAGAAATGGTCAACCTTCTCGTGAGCGATTCTAATTATGTCCGTGAAAGTGTTAAGGAAATTCTTGGTAGTGAATTAAGCCCTCGTTTATACTTGATTTCATTCCAACATTTAGATTCCATTGTCTCATTTTTTTGATAGTGATGGGTAAGCGATCCCAAACGAGAGATATACATTATTCGTCGACCAAGCGATATTAGGTTTAAAATTAACATTGAAAAGGATAGATGATTTATCTGAAAATTTATATGCATGTAATTTTGGGAATTTGGTGCTTTCTTTTGCTATTTGAATAGGCTAAGTGCTAGTCAAATTTCATTAAGGATTAAAAAACGAAGGTGTATACTTGTAGAATTATTAATAGAAAAAATGATTATGTGAGTATGAGGATGGAAATTAAATTAAGGAATAGATTATTGGAGATCATTACTGAATGGACTTCTGATTACAATGTGGTAATATTTTCTTATGTTGACTGCTTTTAATCATTATTTCATTTTTGCTTACATATTTCATTTATTTTCTTCAAAAAAGAAACCGGACAGCCAGAATGATTCTGAACAAGGCATGGGTGGTGGTGCTAACAGAAATGAACGTATACACCGTGACTTGAACCAAGCATGTTAAAAACAATTGTTGCATTGTTACATCAGTTACCTTTACAACCCATAGGCTTTGATGTTGAAGAAATGTAGGAAATGCATTGCGACTAACAACACATTTACGTGAAACAGTTTGTACGAGTGGCACATTAATCAGATCATTACTAAACAGGCAACCGGTAATGTTCAATTATGGTTCAAATTCATTGGATTCAAATTGATTTGATTCAGATTCATCGATATAGTATATAGTTCTCTTTTTGTTTGTGGGGTTAACTTTGTTTTAGATTCTTGCGGTTTGACGGTCTCCGAGGTAGTTCCGCCAATGCTGCCTTTAAATCATCTAATTAACATTTCTGTATTTATCAAACAAGAGTTTTCAGTTTGGTTAAAAAGAATTGAGTTAACGGGATATTCCTTTACATAGTCATTACAAACCAATTATTAAAAAAATGTTAGAGATTATAAACAATTATTCTTGGCTGCTATATAATTGAATACATTGCATTTTTAGTATAATGATTTTGAGATAATAATAATCTAACATTCTATGTTTCGCATTGTGTAATTTTATTACATATAACATTTTTTTGCATGTTTATTGATTACATGTTTAATAAACTAAGCGAGCAATTGTTGATACTGAATTCTACAATATATATCAAGTTTTGAGCCAAAGAAGTTGCTTATAATTTGATCAAATTTTATTAATAAGATATAATCTTTATTCAATTGGATAGGTTGTTTCTAATTGATAATATATAATAAACAAAATTTTTATTACATTTTTTTGACCGATACATATTTTAATTTATTGCTTACTTTTAGAAATTTCCTATACTATGATAAATAGGTTTCTATAACCCAGTCGGTTCAAAATTTACAGGTATATTTACTATCCGGGTGAGTTTTTTTAATAATCTATAAAAAATTTATATGTTTTTTATATATATATTCTTTTTTAAAAATAAAATTAAAGCCAGTGCTGGGTCACTTTTAAAAATTTTATGTTATGAAAATTAATTTATTATGTTTGTATGATCTTATTTACTAAATAATTATTCAAAAAGTTTTATTTCAACATTTACTAAATAAAATATATAAATTTTGTTTTAGCATTAAAAATAAATAAATCTAATAATTGTATTAAATAGAAATATAGTATTAGTATGTAGAATTTAGAGTTTTTGTATATTATTCATTTTTCTGTTTATTTATAATTATATTCTTTTAGAGGATGGTGATTCTAGTGTAGTAGTTGGGTTGTCATCCTCCAAGTGGCAGGTCTAAGGTTCAAATCCCACCTATG